CAAGTACGGGAAGGTTAAGGAGAGCCCTCCGCTCTGAGTCTTTCTCCTTCTTTCAACATGTGCACAACTGTGCCGTAATGTATGTCTCAGTGCCGGGAGGCTCTGAGCCACACTGGTGGGTGGGGCGAGCCAGCAGGCCCTTGCTGATTAAAATGTACTCAGTACTAACTACGTACTAAGTAAAATACTTTATATCACTTACCTGCAAAACAATCCTAGAAAATAAGTATTATTACCCCCATTTTACAAGTGCAAAAGAAAAAAACCCAACTCATGGATATTAAAATTCACCTGGCTTAGGTTACACAGCCGTAGCTATCAAGATCTAAAAGCCAGGTAGTCTGAGTCCAGAAATCACTACAAATCCAGGATGGGGCGGCACACACCTGTAATCCTAGCAGTCAGCAGTTCAAGGCAGGAGGAGTGCTGGGAGTTCAAGGACAGCTGGGCTACACAGTGAGTTCAAAGCTAGCCTGAAGTACACGGCAGAACCAGCTCAAAACAAAACATAGAAATCACTACAAATCTTCCACGCCTCTATGCTGTCTCTTTCAGAAGGCTCTAGTGCAAACTCATTTTAACCTCAAGACAAAAAAAAAAAAAAAAAAACCAACAACAATGGATATTAACTTGGGGTTCTCGGATGAGATCCCTGAAGTCCTAAGGAAAAAAACCTCAAAATATGTATCGGTGTATTTCTAGGGGAAAGGCACAGATATTTAATCATTTTTTTTAAAAACATAAATGTTTTTTGAGGGCTGGGCATGGTGGGCGCACCCTATAATCCCAGCCCTTGGGTGGCTGAGGCAGGAGGATCGTAGCAGGTTTGGGAATCAGCCTGAGCCACAAAGTGAGTTCAAGGCAGCCTGAACTGCATTGGCCTGTCTCAAAAAGACAAAAAAAGTTTTAAAAAATCAAAGTTATGTATATTTATGTTAAAAAGTTATAATCAAATCTAATTCATGAAACTGAAAATTAATAAGAATGGAAGAAAATTAGGTCATATACTGTCTGATCAACTTACTACATAAAAGCTAATCTAACAGCAATGGCTCTGCTTGCTGTGTGTGGTGAGACATGCCCAGCACTCGGAGACGCTGAGGCAGGAGGATTCCACGTTTGAACCCACCCCAGAAAATTTAGTGACTTTGCGAGACCCTGGCTCAAAATAAAAGACGGTCTGGGGCTGGTGAGATGGCTCAGTGGTCTAAAGCACCTACTTAGAACAAGCTTAGCAAAGCATCAGGGACT